AAAAAGGCGCAAGTAGCCGAGATAGCCACGCGAAACGCGGTCGTACCAGCGCTCAGTCCCGAAGCTTATACCAATGTGCACACAAGACCGCTAAAAAATTTGGCGCCACCCCGCTCTAGGTCAGCGCGCTCCGCGCTGGACCACGACGGGAGTAAACGTACAAAGCAGTTCGAGGGGCCGACGGGCTTCCCCGGCGCTCGACCCCAACAGCGGGGTCGGAGGATTTGAACTAGTTAACTCCCAGCCCCAATTAAATAGCTTGAATCAAATAACTAAATAAAAACCTGGGGATTAAATCCTGGGGAGGGGGTCCGGGGTGTCCGGGGGCGCGGGTCGGGAGCCGGAATCAAAAACCTCAAACAAATTAAATCCGGAGGCCTGCCCCAGATGTAAATGGTTTGAATTATCTTGTTCCCGGCCCCAACTAAATAATTCAAGCAGTTTACAGAGTCCGGAGGCCTGCCCCAGATTTAAATTAGTTAATTCCCGGCCCCAACTAAATAGTTCACATAGTTTACATAATGTAAGTAGTTTAAATAACTATAAATCCTGGGGAGTGGGTCCGGGGAGGTCCGGGGGCGCGGGTCAGGAATGAAAAGAGTTTAGCTAATTGAAATCCGGAGGCCACCCCGAGATTTAAATTATGTAACTCCAGGCCCCAACCTCCCCGGACCCTCCTCTCCAGGATTTAAGTTGTTCAACTCCCGGCCTAATCAAACAATGTAAATAATTTGAATGGGAGGCTGCACCAGATGTAAATCCTCTGAAGCCGGGATAAACAATTTAAATAAATAATGCGGAGGCCTGCCCCAGATTTAAACTATTTCGATGATTTAAGTTCCGGCCCAACCTCGCCGGACCCAACTCCCCAGGAATAAATTAGTGAAATACTTAATTCCGGCCCCCTAAATAATTCAAAACAATGATTGGCCCCAGTTTTTAATTATGTAATTCCCAGCTGAATCAATTAATTGAAATAATGTAAATACTTTGAATACTTTAAATCCTAGGGAGCGGGTCCGGGATGGGGTCGAGGGGATCCGGGGGCTACCCTGCCAGGGTGTTGATGATGTAAATTACCGGCCCAATTTAAATAATGGAACTAACTTAAGTCTGGAGGCCTGCACCAGATTTAAACTATTTCATTTCCGGCCCCAATTATATTACTTAAATAATGTAAATTCCGGGGATGGGGTCCGGGGGCCCCGCCGCCAGGATCTTCATTGTTCAAATTATGTACTTCCCGGCCCCAGTTAACAGGTTTACAGAATTTAAAAGCGGAGGCCTGCACCAGACTAAAATTATTTTGATTATATAATTCCCGGCGCCAATGAAATAATTCAAAGGGGTCCGGGAGATCCAGGGGCCAACCCCCAGGATTTAAATTCTTCAAACTGTTTAAACCATTGAAATTAGTTACTTCCTGGCACCAAGTCAACAAATATATGCTGGGGATCCAGGGGGGTCCGGGGGCGCGGGTGAGCCTGGGGGGGGGGGGTCGTGGTTATATTAAAATCAGGAAACAGCCAATCGCAGCAAGTTTCGCCAACGGATTCTTAGGGTAAATTTGCTGCGGTTGAATTGTTCATGGATATATCTGGATATATTCAAACCAAGAGACAGCCAATCGCAGCGAATTGGGCCCCACCGGTTTCTTGGGCGAAAAGTACGGCGATTGACTTGTTCGTGGTTATATTTAGGTCAGGAACAGCCAATCGCAGCAAATTTTGCCCACCGATTCCTGAGGCAAAATTTGCTGTGATTGATTTTGTTCGTGGTCATCTTTAAGCCAAGAAACAGCAAATAGCAGCAAATTTCGCTAACCGATTCTTGGGCGAAAAGTGCTGCGATTGACCTATGAGTGGTTACATTTAAGTCAGGAAACAGCCATCGCAGCAAATTTCACCAACCGATTCTTGGGCAAAATTTGCTGCGCTCGACTTGCTCGTGGTTATATCTAAATCAGGAAGCAGCAAATCGCCACATTTCGCCAACCTGTTCTTGGGCAAAATTTGCTTCGATTGACTTGTTGGTGGTTCTAATTAAAGCAAAATTTTCTGGCATTGACTTGCTGGTGGTTATATCTGAATCAGGAAGCAGCAAATCGCCACAAATTTCGCCAACCTGTTCTTGGGCAAAATTTGCTGCGATTGACTTGTTGGAGGTTCGAATTAAATCAGGAAACAACCAGTCGCAGCAAATTTCGCCAGCCGGTTTCTTGGGCAAAATTTGCTGCGATGGACTTGCTCGTGGTTATATTTTAATCCGGAAACAGCCGATCGCGGAGTTTTTTCAAACCGATTCTTGGACGAAATTTGCTGCGAATGATTTGTTCGTGTTTATATTCGCCAACCGATTCTTGGGCGAAATTTGCTGCGATTGACTTGCTCGTGGTTCTATTTAAGTCAGGAAACAGCCAATTGCAGCAAACTTCGCCAACCGACTCTTGGGCGAAATTTGCGGCGATGGACCTGTTCGTGGTTATATTCAAATCAGGAAGCAGCTAATCGCAGCAGGTTTGGCCGAGAACCAGACGTCTGTTTTTGAAGATGTGAAGGTTGGGAGCGCTGCAGCCTTTGTCCTGACGGCGAGCTCTCTTCCATCTTTTGTGAAGAGGAGGAGGAGATGGTCAGGAGTTCTCGCCCCTTAAGAGAGAGAGGACCTTTCTTCTGTTCGGCAGGTCTTCTGAGTTGATGGGACAGAAGACCTGCCAGAGGATCTTTACCTCTACCGAGAGGTAAGGAGCTCTCGTCTTCCTGCCGATCAGGAGGAAAAGGAGGTTTCTTTATTCTCGGTATAGTGCAGGGAGTTCTCCTCTTGTTTTCGATGATGAGATAGAGAACTTATGCGTTGTTGTGGAAATCTGGGTGTGCTCTGTCCTCTCTTGCAAGGACGGAGGTCTCTTCAATCCTCTCAAGAATAAGAGGAGACATACCAAGAGGTAAGGGAGGTCTCTTCTTCAAAGAAGCTCTCTTCTCTTACCGAGAATATCTTGGTGGAAGCTTTCTTCTCGTCTCAAAGCATGAAATAGAATGGTCATCTGGAGGGGGAGGTGATTAAGATGAAGACTTACCAAGAGGTAAAGGAGCTCTCTAGAAAGAAACACTTTTTTCTTACCAAGAACAACTTGGAGCGAGCTTTCGTCTTGTTTCAGAAGATGAGGCACGCAGAGGGCTTCTCATTTCGTTTTGAAGGCAGGGGGACCAGATATTTGTTGTCAAGGTTTGACGCTTGGAAGAGCTCCGCCCTTTCTTCTTGATCGTAAGCTGTCTTCCACGTTTTGAAGAGGAGGACGATATGGTCAGGAGCGGAGTTTTCTTCTCGTCGACAGAGAGATAAACAGAGCTCCATTCTTTCTGGAGAAGGTAGAGGGGCCTCTCTTCTGAGTTGTTGGAGTAGAGGATCGTCTTTCTCGTGAAACTGGAGGGAGCTTCCTTGTTGTTCCCGATGATTAGGTAGAGAACCCGGACGTTGTTTTCAAAGGCTCGGGGGTGCTGTGTCCCTTGTCCTTTCTTGCTCGGAGTGAGACATCTTCAGTCTTCTCAAGACTGAGAGGCGGCTTACCAAGAGGTAAAGGAACTCTTTTCTAGACAAAGCTCTCCTCTCTTGCCAAGAATAATTTGGGGGTGCTCTCTTCTTGTTTTTCTCTTTCTTTTTGAAGGTTGAGGGGAGGACCAGACTTCTTTGTTTCAAGGTTGCGGGGAGCTACACTGTTTCTTCTTGAGCGTATGCTCTCTTGAAATTTTGAAAAGGTAAACGAAATAGTCAGGATTTCCTTTCCTTTACCAAGAGAGAACGGAGGTCTTCTCTTGCCAACTGAGGGGTAAATGGAGCTCTGTTTTTCTCGATAAATTGGACGGGCTTCTCTTGTTTGTGAGTCTGTCTTATTAATTTGAAGCAAGCTCTCAGTCTTTTCTTGTCGAGGATTGGGTAGAGATTTTTTTGGAAGCTAGGGGAGCTCTCTCCTCTCTTGCTAAGAGCTAGGTCTCTTGAATCTTCTTAAGATTGAAAAGCCGACGTACCAAGAGGTAGAAGGACCTCTCTGCTAGAAAGAGGCTCTCTTCTTTTGCTGCCGCGAATAATTTAGGGGGAGGACTTTCCTTTTTTTTCGGAGCATGACGTGGGGATACGTGGGGGAACTACATTTTTTTGTGAAGACTGGGGGGAGGACCACATTTCTTTTTGTGAAGGTTGGGGTGCCATGTGCGTCCGCCAGTTGAGAGACGCCAAGTAGTGCCAGGATGCGCCAGGTAGGGCTTTAAACGTGCTTTAAACCAGGGGTGTGCAATGGCAAAAGGAGATCGAACAGGTAGATCCGAGCCTCAAGGACGCGGGTCGCCAAGTCACATTGACTTGCAATGGGACGGTGCCAAACATGGAAAACTACATCAACAGAACCCTGCGAAACAACCGCAAGAGCTGCGTGGCGGATTGAGCATTATGGCGCACAGCAAATCGAGATATCAGTTCCAAGGTGTTCGACAGGCTGCAGTTCTGAAAAAGCAGGACCAGCTGCCAGCTGCCAGCGACCTTGTCATATATAGCCATATAAATAGTTTCAGTCTTGTAGTAAAGGAAACTGGGCAGGCCCTGATGTGAGTGAGAACCACTGAAGAAAATGCGCACGGCAGAACAGTGAGGTCCTGAGGTGCAGGTGGTACATAGAGACGACACGCATGGACGCATGCACTATTGCTCGTTGCATGTTGGTGGCGAAGATGTGCAGGCTCTGTTGGAACGAACCGAGCCTGCAAGCTTCGATCTCAGACTATCAGTCTCAATCTTCTTCTTCAGGGTTGCTCCTTGGCAAGTTGTGTGTCCCATGCGTCCAAGTTAGTGAACCTGTCATCTATATTGCCACGCAGCAAGGTAGCAGCTTCATTCAAGGATGTAGGACCACTGAGGTTTCCTAATTATTAATTAGGTTGTGCCACATGCCTGAGGTGTGCTTGATGTCGAGCAAAAGATTTTCGCAGCACTGCAGGCAGACATCGTCGTAGCCTGAGTGTGACATGAGCTGATCACCTGTCTCACTCAGAGCATCGGGTTTTGGTCTTAGGCTGGCAACCTCGGCATATGCTACAGGACGGCAAGTTGCGCTGGACGATTTTTTTGTCAATTGCATGGTTGTGCTTCGCGAAACACATTGTCTTCAACCAGGAGGTTAAAGGACTTCGGACCTGCAGTGGACCAGTTGTCAGCCTTGCGAATTCAGCATCCGCCGTGGGCACAGATGCATGAGGGTGACACAGCTCGCAGCCGTTCGCTGCCAGGAAGCTTGCCCTTCAGCATCACGAGGCCTTGGAAATTAAATGCTCTTGATGTGCGTTCGATTGACGCGGAGACATGCAAAATCTACTGGACAGGTCCGCCTTCGCGACTGTGACAAGGCATGGGGATCAAGTCAAAATGTAGCTCTGAAGACAACATCAGCTGACAGCCGTGGCGATCTGCGAAGGTTGATGTTGCAGACCTTAGAACGTTGGCTGGTTGCTCAAGTCAGACCTAGTCGCGTCTGCAAAGAAGACATGATATCGGCCTCAAGAAAAGCGAATGTTGTCCTGAGGTAGCTGCACATCTCAACCTCGCATCTTGCCATATGGAATGCGAGGTGCAATGGTTTCCGACATTCGCACCTTCGTCGGACAGATGTCAGCATGAAAGATCGAAGACTTCAGCACTTGTCATACTTGTGGTGGCAGGCTGCAGATGCTGCCCTCCAGCATGCCGCGACAGCGGTGGCGTCCCATGTTAACCCGGTCTGTGATGCTTTGGCCCCGTCCAGCATCAGGCAAACATGAGTGGCCAAGTCTTGACTGCGCAGGGGCCTCGATTGCTAACATTGTCGAGGTAATGCTTTTCATCCCTGAATATATACAGCTGCTGGGTGATGTCGGTCACGGGTTATTCTAGCAGATAGTGTATTGGAGGAACCGGGAGGCCAGTGGCGATCTGCCCGCAGGCCCCGAAGACCTACCCACTTGTAGATGATACGAGTTGCTGGCAAGTACCGATGGTGGCAGGTCCGGCTGAAAATGACTTTGCAATGTTGGCCGTGTCTTTTCACAAGGCCTGTTAAGCTAGCCGAACTTGCGTTTTGAATGCTTAGCCAAGCAGCCTCGCATACTTTGTCCGTCCATATTCGAAAGAGTCTCTGGCCTGCTTTGACAGGTTGCAGAAGCCCACGAGGCTCTGAAGGACCGGCAGCCAACGGAACCAGTTGCCGCTTCTTTACGCATGTCGAAAATCAAACTGATTGCTTGTGACATTGTGAGGTGTCCTTGGCTGAGATCTGATAAAATGACAGCTGCACGGCAACAAAAACGCTGCAATGATTGCCGTGGTGTCCACCTTTGAGGATTTGCCACGATGCGAAATCAATGAAGCAATTTGTTGTCTTTACAAGTCTGGAAGACATGATTTCGAACGTGACCTGTGTGTTGTCGGTTGTCGGTTGCCCAGGGAATTGCTGCAAGAAAGTGTTCAACATCGGCATCAGATACGGGCTGTCGGGACCACCCCTAACCAACTGTACTTGGACGGGGGGTGTTAAATCGATATCTGGGAGTTCGAAGTACATTCCCCCCTGTTCCATTACATGTGTTGTCTGTGGGCCATTCCAGCTGAGATAATGTACCTGGAGGTCTTCGGTCATGGAATCCCGGAGCAACGAACAGTAGCGAATAACGTACTTAAGGGGTTGGTGGGTAAATCACCAAGTAAATTAGTTGTGGGGTGGTGGTGTCGGGTATGCTCAGTGAACCTTGGATGATTTGGCGGCACATTTCCCAATTGCACGACCGGTCCAGAGAAGCAGGTAAAGGATGATTAGGCTTGAAGCACCGGAACCGTGGTTGCAGAGTCGTGCCAGACCGGTCTGCTTCATCACTCAGTGTGTGAGCGGCAGGAATGGGGCAAAGCGATTTTTGCTCACACCCAAGCCCGTGAGGCCGGAGGTAAACATGGGCACTTTGTCGCCCAATCGTTAGAATTTTCCATGCCTATGCCTTGACCGGAAAGTGAGCTTGCAAACACTTCGCCTTGCATCACAGGTTGTCCACCGAAGTCTGGGGTTGCACCCTCAGACATGCAGCCCTTCTGTTTCGCCGTTCACGCACCCAAATGTTCTGAATGCTCCAGTTCTAGATATGAGATGCGGCAGGCCAGCCCATCCATTGACACAGTCTCTTGCACGATGCCGTCCTCACCTGTCTCGTCGCGGCCTCAAGGAGTGACACGCCACGAGGCACTGGAAACAGCGCTGCAGTTGCCAGGTCCATCTACAGGCAACAGGCCGGGCGAAGTGGCCGTCTCTCATGTGGAGCTGGTGAAGTGCCTCGTGTGCTCGTGGTGTGCTCGTTGTGTGCATGTTGTCAGGCTCTAGAAGTGTAGAAGATGTGGAACCGTTGCCTCGTTGCAGCTCGCACTGCCACGAGCAGGAGACTTATGACGCTCTCTCCGGTCCAAGAAGCCATTGTTCAGACGGAGGAGAAGTATGGAGCGCACAACTATCATCCGCTTCCAGTTGTCCTGTCCCGGGGACGTGGTACAAAGCTTTGGGATGTAGATGGAAAAGAGTACTTCGACTTTCTGTCTGCATATTCGGCAGTAAACCAGGGCCACTGCCATCCCAAGATTATTGGAGCTTTGCAAGAACAGGCGCAGAAGCTGACCTTAACATCACGAGCATTTCACAATGATGCGTTGGGTGAGTACTGCAAGTTTGCAACGGAGTTCTTCGGTTTCGAGCGTTTGCTGCCAATGAACACAGGCGTGGAGGCCGGCGAGACTGCCATCAAGCTAGCTCGCCGATGGGGCTACGATGTGAAGAAGATTGCCTCAGGAAAAGCTCGAGTGGTTTTTGCAAACGGCAACTTTTGGGGTCGGACGATTGCCGCGATCAGTACGTCAGATGACCCAAGTTCGACGGGAGGCTTCGGACCTTTCGTTCCCGGTTTCACAAATGTGGCATATGACGACCCAGAGGCGTTGGAGGCCGAGCTGCAAGCTCACGGAGACGAGGTTTGTGCATTTATGGTTGAGCCAATCCAGGGTGAAGCGGGGGTTGTTGTGCCGTCTGATGGATACCTTCGACGAGTACGCGAGCTTTGTGACAAGTACAATGTGCTCCTGATCACGGATGAAGTGCAGACTGGGCTTGGGCGCTGTGGAACCCTTCTGGCCTGTGATCATGACGGCATCCGTCCCGACATCCTGGTCCTTGGCAAGGCACTCTCTGGTGGAGTTCTTCCGGCTTCTGCAGTTCTCACGTCACACGAGGTTATGCTGACAGTCCGCCCGGGAGAACATGGCAGTACCTACGGTGGCAATCCATTGGCTTGCAGAGTAGCCACAGCAGCATTGACAGTTCTCAAGGATGAAGCTTTGACCGAGAATGCGGCTGCACGTGGTGAGCAGCTACGCTCAGGTTTGCGCAAGCTTTCGGAGGATGAAGGGTCGCCCATCAAACTCGTGCGTGGTCGAGGCTTGTTGAATGCAATTGTGATCGGTGGCTCAGACAAAGGCAGCTACGGGGACGAAGGAATGGCATGGCAGCTTTGTGAAGAAATGGCGAAGAACGGCCTGCTTGCCAAACCAACTCATGGGACCATTATTCGCCTCGCTCCCCCCTTGTGCATCACTGCTGCCGAGATTGATGAGTCTGTTGCAATCATTGGACGGAGCCTGAAGTGCTTAAGTTGAGATTGTGTGAAAATCACCTCCTCAGCTTGTTCTGGTCATCTGGTCCTTTGAAAGACCTCATCCGACCTGCAGAGCGGTGCTGGACTGCGAGGCTGTACTTTGGGCTCGGCCTTTTGACGCGTGCAATGCTCGCCAGCAGGCAGAAGACTAAAATTAAGTGGCGTACCGTCTTGGTATGTTTTTTCTCCCGCAAGCCTGTTTCTGCGCTGCATTTACGACCATTTGCCAGGCAGACTGAGTTTCTCGATGTTTATGCAGCCAGCATTGGCAGAAGCAGCTTGGTTGTCGGGTTCAGTCAAGATCAACTCTTGTTCGGTGTGAAGCACGAGCACGCTTGTGCCATCTTGTGCCAGCCGCATGCCTGCGAAAAGAGAAATCAAGACACGTAGCGAGCTCAAAGGTACAGGCTGTCCGCTGCTGCGGTGGTGTGCTCAGATATGGCACAGGACTTGACAATGTTGCCTGCAACTTCTTCCAAGGCCTAACAAAGGCCAGAAGGTTTTGCCCAGCATTCCTCAAGGTTTTCCGGACACGCTTCAGCATCGTGTCAGCAAGACGTTTTCCGGCCACATGGGCCAGGTGCCCGTGGCAAGCCGTTCGTGAGAACAACAGAAGCTTTGGGCTTCGAGCTCGCAGGTCCTTGTGGTTGGTGTAAAATTTTGTTCATTCTGTCTGTGGCCTTGTGGCATTTGGAGGCTACCAGATCAATGCCACTTGTTTTCCAAGCTGGTGCCTGCCTCAGTTTCTGGAAGTCCTACTTGTCTGATGCCAGAAGCTGCTTCTGGAACTTTGGCACCACTTTATCGCGAGCCATTTGCCTTCGCCATGTCATGACATGCTCCCCCGTGCTGAGCGTGCCGACGGCTTCGTGTCACGAATTCCGCCATCCAACCCCCGAGGCTGTCGAGTGAGGCGCTTTCACGCAGGAAACGCTGGTTGCTGCATAATTTTCGCTGCCGGCCTGACGGGTCGGCTAGAACCATGTAGGGCCCTACATGTCCTGTGCAGCACTTGCCGGATATGTTTTGCTCGCATTGTCGGCTGGGCATCGCCAATGCGGGTCGTGAGATCCATAAGTAAGTGGCCTGCAAATTACAGCCGTTTCGGCCTGTGGATTGCGCCATTTCGAAATTGCCTGATCGATGAAATGTCTGGGGCACGGTGAAGTAGACCTGTCAGTGCTAAGGCCTCCAACCAATGCTAGCAACGAGGAGCAGGAGATGAGTTCCTTGTAGTCGTTCTAGCGATGACAGATGACGTTGCTAGAATCCCAAGCAAGCAAGCCTTCAGTCAGGAGTGGTATGCCATGGCACGAGCTCGAAGACATGAAGCTCCACCGCTGCCAAAGCTGGCCATCAAGCAGGATCTGCCACAGCTCCTGTGCAGCGGGTCACATCATTATCAAAATAAGGCTGCCAACCATGCTTGGCTATCTTCGACTGCACTTTTGCGTCAGGAGCCCGTGGTTGACAACTTTTCTGTGATCCCACCTCCCAGCAGAGGCGCGCTGAGTCGGCGAAGCCGAAGGAGCTGAATCACCAGCTCTGCAGCTGCAGAAGAACCGGCGCTTGAAGTTTCACGGCTGTTTCCGTATGTTTGCGAAGATCCGTCAGAAAACCCGCAATCACCCTGCAAGCCAAGTTTTCCAAGCCTTATATTTTTGCAAGCAATCGAACACAGCCATGGAAGTTGAGAAGTCGAGACACGTGGTGGCATCTGTGAAAAAGCAAGGTGGGGAGTACACCGAACAAGTCAGAAATTAAAGAGCCTCCGGCTCGAGCCGCCGACCCCGCAGACGTGGCAAGGAAAACCCTTCTCCTGCGCTGTGCACAGCAAAGAAAACAGCACTCAGCGGATGGGGTCTGTCGGGGGGGGGGGGGGGGGGGGTCCGGGGAGGAATCCGCCGCATACCGTTCCCGAAGGGAGGCTGAAGGGGGGATAGATCAAACCATGATCAAACCTGCCTTAGGCACGTTAAACTGGCCACTGCTATACTGCTCTGACTGCTATGATTCGACAGGATACCTGCCGTGGTGCTCCATCCATCAGCTATTTATTCATGTTAGGTGCTGAAAGGAACTCTTGTTCCCTCGATGGCATCTGCAGACACGGTCCAGCAAGCTTTGGACAAGTTGGCCGAGACGTCACGGCCTTACAGAGTCGTCTACAATGCAAGAATCCCCTGGCTACTCACCTTGCTTATAGCATCTTATAGCGCAATTCGCAGGTTTCAAAATGATGACAAAGCCACCGACCTTGCGAAGCTGACGCGCCATGCCAGCCTCCGAGACTGCAACGTGTCAGTGCAGCTTCTGCGGCCCTGCGTGCGATTGCTTGAAGACGCAAGGCGCTGTCTTTGCTCAAGCATGCGGATACAAGAGCCAGAGGAGCTTTCTTCTCAGAACCGGTTCCCATCTAGTCTAGCATACGCTGAGTTGTTTGTGCTTGTCTGCACCAGGTCGAAGCAGTTATCCAGCTGCAAGATCAGCTGCACATTGCACGCCGACTGGGGAGCCATGGTCCAATGGTCTGGGTTTCGGGTGGCGGCGGGTGCAAGATGTGCAAGACTTCGGGCACGGCTGTAGTCAATCGTGAGATAAGACAGAGACACTTGCAGGCAAGGGTCGCCAAGAAGCTTGGCCGGCAGAGTTGTACCAGCACAGATGCGTGAGTGTGTCTACTTAGGAATTACGTTCAGGAGGCGAACTTGGTGGAAGCAATTGCCGGACGAATGCGAACGGATGATGCATACGGCTTGGAGTCTTCGGTGCCGATGGTGCAGGCCGAGCAGTCTGATGAGATGAAAGCACTCATAAAGCAGATGCAGACACTGGGTTGCATTGCTTGCGGTATCTTATCGTGGTGTTGATGTGTGTTGCTGTGTTGCACACATAGGCCGAATGGAATGATATCTCCTCCTCTAGGATGGGCGGACACAACTGAGCGTCGCTTTCTTGTCATGCCCCCTCAAGATGATGGAAGTTGACTCCTCCCTGTATCTGGGCCATCTAAGATGCAGCAGGCACGCCCATTCTTGAGTAGGGCCTCAACTCAAGTGAAGAATATTGCAATTTGCTCGGTGTAGGCACTAGACGATACCCTTCGCGTGGTGCGTGCGAGCGCCCCTCCCCCCGCCACCACCACCACCACTTCTCATAGCGGCGGCAGTAGCAGCAGCAGAAGTCGGTGTCGCAGCAGGATCGCACTCTTGCTGCGTTTCATGTGAGGCCTTCCAGCGAGGACTTAACAAGTAAGTAAGTCTGTGGATTCCCACCTGCAACAACATTGAATCCAAACCGACAGCCTAGGAAGCCACAAGCCCTCAGGCCAAACTCTAACTCGACTCCAGTCGCTTTGGAAAATGGTTCATGCTGACTACATTACAGCCACACGTAGTTAGTTGGATGGCCTTCGGATGGAAATTTAGTTGGCTCGAGGCCCTGCAGGGACTTAAACCCCCAAGACATGACAGAATGGAGTTTAATCTTTCCGCACCGGGGAACTCGTCGCCCGTCGCCGACATGTAGTCAGCTTTAATACAGAAAAGATCGCCTGCATAAATTTCCGTGCGATCGTCTGACACATGTGTAGTTCAATGAGCAAAAGAAGTCGGCATGTCGCGGGTCTCGTGCTGAGGGAAGCGGACTTGAAGTCCCGACCCTACGAGTTTCTGAATACAGCTGATTCAGAAGAGATGACCGTAAACATCTCAGTTCCGGCTGAGACACAGATGAAAGCCTCTTCGCATGCACGAAGCATGTTTCGGCTTTGCGTAGTTGTCGTTTTTCTTTGCCCCTGGAAAGCTCGAGATCCGAATCCCACGGCTTCTACCGCAAGCAAGGATGTGTCTGTGAAGCTTAGTGCTAAAACGATCCGGGTCGAGATCAAGGGGCACGAGATGCAGCCTTGTGTTATTGACGGATCTTTTTTCCAAGCCGTGGACCCAGCCGGCTGCGATCATCATCTTGAAGGCTCTGGTGCCAAGAGAGCTGGGCTCTAAGTTCTTGTGAAGTCCAGTGCGAAGGCGATAAAGATTTTGCTGTGATTGAGTTACTCTTCTGAGTTGCTGGTCATTGACCTCGAGAAGAAGCAGAACGGATTGAAGTGGCCAGACCTTTTGGGATATGGTGCGACGTAGACCCGCTAGGCTTCACCGCAGAATTCACAACGACAGTACCAAGAATGCACAAAGGCTGCAGGTGGAAAAAGGAGGAAATGCTGAGCAGATCTGAGCAGTTGGCGCTCCGTGTTTTGAGTAGCAACTGCTTGGGTGTGTAGTTTGCTGCTTTGGCAGAGGCCCGCCAAGGAATCACATGCCTGCAGCCTGCTTTGGTTTATAGGGATTTGGGGGATATGCTTGAGCAATGGCAGAACTTTTCGTCGAGCTTTGCGTTGCCAAAGCTCCGGGACTTCTTCGAACAGGAGATCATCCCGGTGCAAACGCCGGACATGCCTGGTGATGCAGTTGCGTCACCCACATCCTCCCCTGTCCGCTCTCAAGACGTTTACAGTCGGCCAGTGCTGGGCGAGGAGCCAAATAGGAGGGACCAGGACAGAGGCATGTCTCTTCCAGGAGAAGAAAGCCACGCGGGGGCATTCTCCAGCTTGCTCTCTGAAGATACACTCGAAACTGGAGTTCCTGGCCAGAAGCATAACCCAGAGTCCAGCACTGTTGCAGCAGAGCTTACAGAAGAGAAGACACGGAAGAGCCACCGTCCGGTGTACGTGCCAGACATGAGAATGGATGAGGAGGATGCAGAAGAGCACGACGCAAGCACGCCGTTCCCTGCAGCTGCCGGCACGGGCACAGACGAGGAAACCGCTGAGCAGCCGTCAGACCTTGTCAATCTGCAGGTTGCAACAAGTGAAGTCCCGTACTGGCTGCAAATGTCGAGCGAGGGACTTGTCTCTCAATGGGCGCCGTTTTCTTCATATGCAGCTTCTGACACAAATTTAATTATTAGGCCACCTCCCATGCCTGAAGAAGGGTGCATGGCCATCGTTGCACCCGAAGCCACCCCAGAGGGGTTTCGGGTTCTCTCCGTGAAACATCAGGAGTCTCTCAGTCGTGGTGCAATTTCTCATGGCAAATGCTTTTATTTTGATGCTGCGGCTTTTCCTTCCTATGAGTTCGCCCTGCACCCATGTGTTGTCGAGCAGTGGCGTGGAGGTTCGCTTGTATGGAGCGGAGCGGTCAGCCTGAGTTTGGGAACATTAGGAGGGGTCGATTTGCCACAACTGACCGTCCCGGCATTTGGGCGAAAAGAGCCTCGAAGCTTATCCCAACTCGGAGATTTCGAAGTTGATGACATTATTTTCGTACTTGGCTTTCACAAGGACTTTGCGGTCTCTGTTGGCCGCCACATGGGCTTTTCAGAAAACCTCCTCGGATACCAGAGCTACTGCATGGGAAAGAGAGCTTCGCCACGCCAGGATCTAGATACCTTCCGAAAAAGTGCAAAGTACATTGACGAGCTAGGGGACTTGGGGAAGCACATGCAAATCAATGTTGAAGTTGATGAGAAGGAACTTGTTGCGATCCGCGGGACGACTGAGTCCAGGGCCAGCATGGGTGCAATGCTTGAACCTTCTGCCCATGTCGAAGACACCACAAGCGTGGCAGAGCTGGCCAGAGAGAACAGCTTGGTCATGGCAGGTGTAGAGGTAGCAGAGGAGGGAACTATTCCCCACAATGTGCGTTCCAGCACTGACAGTGATGCGTGGAATGCAAGGCGCCAAGCGATGCTGAACGCCAGACCAAGGCATGCGCCTGATCGCGAAGCAACGCTTTGACCACTTCCGCCTCGCGAGTCTCACGAGGTTGAGATTCTACGGGCGAGTTTCACGCTTGCAGGCTTTAGGGCCTGCTCGATAAGCTGTCCACCAAGTGGCATGCTAGTCACCGGGCAGTCTGTCTGCCACGAGCCAATTGCATTTGCAAACATTCGCACGCAGTCAAGTTTGTTTGTAGGTACGGGTGTGGAATACAGGAGGGAACCACATCGCATCAAAATGTGTGGGAGTGGACGCAGCCATCGGCTTCAAGTGTGTAGAGTACCGTCAAGAAGCGGACAAGCAGACCCCCCGAAGCGCCCAGATCCGGCCAAATGGATGATGAGCCAGAGGTGACCCAAGAGGGTGATGTGGGAGGCAGTGGCGGCGGTCGGGCCCCTCGCCCACGTGGTCCTGTCACGGGAGGTTGGGGTTTCGATGACGACACAGGAGGACCACGGATGAGCGCAGAGCCTCCATCACCTCAGCGTGGCCATAAGGGCCATTTCGAGGAGGACGACGATGCGGTTCCAACAATTCCAGATCTTGAGGAGGAAGCAGAAGAAGACATTACGCGACAAGTTGCAGCACCTCCGATTGCGGCTCCCTCGTTGGCCGCTCCCGTCAGGACGGTCCGTGAGCTGGATGGTGCACTGATCAGCCGCGGCACGCAGCTGCCGACAACCCCGGAAGAGGGCGTCGACCTTGCCCCGTTGATGCAGTGCCTGTGCTCAGATCGCCAGGTGTTTGAACAGGATAGTACCTGGGACCATGAGCTGATCTTCCAAGAAGTCGCCAGCGCCATTAATCAGGACTTGCTGACGGTGGAGGAGGGTGAGGTGGAGGAAAGTGAAGCTCTGGGACGATGATCGGCCAATTCACGTGTATGCTGGACTGGGAAGGACTTGTAAAGTCTTGACTTCCTGATTGAACCGCACTAGACAGAAAGAAAACTTTCAGCTTGCATTGTCGTGTGCCGTTTCTGTAGACAGTCAATTGAGCTGTTTCAACACAGTTCTCGCGCAGCCGTGTCGCTCAAAGTCCAGTTATGGAAGTCCCGCAGCGCAGACGAACTCAACCGGACTAAGAATGCAGGGTAAGTAGGCTGCAGTTTGACAGGTTTGTCCTCAGCGAACTGTGTTCACGTACCTCTGGTTACATCTGAGTAGCACCAATGACATCCGTAGCTCGGCAGCGGAGCTATGAGAGAGTGCGCCTTTCCTGGGAAGCTGTGAAGAACGGCGAGCAGTTGACCTCATTAGCTGACGTGGTGGTGATCGACCGCGCAAAGTACGCCGGCAACGTTGGCAAAAGCCTCAGTTCGCTTCAGCCTTTTTCTTTATACAGTCTGCACGTCTCGAGCTGGTGGCAAGGTTTGAAGTTGGGCAGACCAGCCTTAACAGTTTGGACGTTTTGCCGTGTGCGGGGTCGGCAAACAGAGATTGCACATGAGGGTGTTTGTGAGCGGCATGGTCGGAACTTTGCTGCTCGCCTGTGAGTTTAGAGCAGGGCTTGGAAATGGGAACCGGAAAGCAAACTGACTATGCATGATCACAGCAACAACTGTGAACGAGCCCTGCCAAGACCATCCAAGACCTCACCCAGCTTCCGAAGCCTCCTGTCGGGGGGAAGTTTCGACATACTGTCCCTGCCTTCTGCCATGCTCCGTAGACTGAGTTTTGTGTCCGATCTGGGTCATGCCAAGACGAGTCACGTTGCTGCGTTGCTGCCGGAGATCGGCTCTGGTTCGTTTGGCCTACACTGTTCACTGCACTGGTGATCGCTCGTGAATTTGCTTATGAAATCGGACTGTTCTCAAGCACTCAATCTGAGCATCCATCCCATGCTGCCACTCGAGGATGGCTTTCAAAACGAGTTGCAGTTTGCACATGTTTGCTGATGTCAACTCGAAGTCGGCCAGCTCAGGCTCGACAGTCGATTGATCGCGATTCGATCTCTGAATCGGCTCCGATACTGGATCAGTTGTGAGATCCAAATCGAAATAAGATGAAGCAAGACCGTTCCAATCGCAACACCGCCTGCCGACCGCAAGGAGCTGCAGGCCAAGACAAATCGTCCCAGCATGTGCAAGTTGTACGGGAAGCACAAGTCGCGTTCAGGCTGGCTGAGTTTATTTATGTAGCGATGTGAAGCAACCAGCTGGTATGGCAAGCGGACTTGACTTTACCCGCCGACGCGAACAGGTATGATGTGGGTATGTCTGGTGACAACCATGGATTCAGCAGGGTACGTGCGAGCCCATCACACGACAACCAGCCCCGAACATCCTCGGACAATGGCCATGGAAAGAGTGAAAACTTGTTCGTGCAGTGCAGTGTAGCGCAGGGTGGAGGGGAAGAAGACATGCATGATCACACAGCAATGCATGTGCAGCAAGTCTGTGTTCGTGGTGCCTTCACATTGAAAATAAATGCAATAAATGCCCAAATCCCCGAGGTTCAATATTGCGGCACATGCCCATACTGGGAGGTGCTCAGATCTTGTTTTTGGCAAACAGCGCGCACCAACCATCGTCTCCATATCCACCATATCCTCGCAGCTTCATCAAGGAGGTGATGCGGGTGTCAATGCTGCAGCATTATCGTGTGCCGTAGCTGCAGATATGTACCTTTTCCGCTATGCAATGCAGGTTTCAGAAGGGGGTGGTGGCTTGAAGCAGTTGCCGCACGATCATGACACCGTGTTCGGCACCAACATGCTCATAGTAATCGTCAGCTGGAGCAGAATATGGGCTCTGGCCATAAATGGGGGTGCGGGGCCGTGCATGTCCGTCTTGGGGCCGGGCTCCGACGAGAACGGGGGGACAATCCGAGATCCATTTTGCATATCCATTTTCAGCTGGGTTGTCCATCCCTGGCGTTTGAAATTCGCTCTATGATCTCTTTGCCCAAAGCAAGATCGATTCACGGGTCCTGCGTGATTATGGGAGCTTGAGACAGACTCTGCGACCAAGTACATAGTGGACTGCTTTGCGGATGCATGCGGTATGACTGACTGCACCTGCAACCTCAGAAGCCGACACAGGAAGTGCCAGGTATTGTTTACGAAGACATTGTCATGTTTCGAAACCTAAGAGAGGTGTCAGATCCATGAAGGGAGTTGCTTGTCCTTCTGCTTTTGGGCGGCGGTCTTCAGCTCAGAGTGTTTGAGCGTGGAGCTGTCCCTGCCTGCTGCAGGAATTTGATGGAAAGTTTTGCCTGTTGGACGGAGGACGTGATGCAGTGTTTCAGTTGCTGGCGATTCTGAAGTCCAAAGGCTTCGTGCTGATGATCTTGGAGAATGTTGAAGCTTTTCAGGAGACGTCAACTGATGTGGTGTGAGTAGTGCATCTCTCCGCATGCAGGGAACAGATGTCAGCAAAACTGAAGAACGGCTGCAGAGCGCTAGCTCAAAAAGAACCCTTGCAGGAGATGTCCGAGGCCGGTCGCCAGGCTTTTGGGTATTCTTCCATCTATGACAAGACCTCTGCATTAAGGGACCTGGGATCTCCCATCGCTTACATATTTGGCGGAGAATCTGGTCCACCCCTGGCGGAATTATTCCAGCTCTGTGATGTCGGAGGCTTCATCCCCAGCTCTTCCCACAGTGAGCCTGACAGTTCTGATTATTGCGAGCTTGAAGATGAAGCTGTATCTTGGCACAGGATGCATTCATGCAACCTGAGCATTGCCGCCTGCATTGTATTGGGCGAGCGGCATCGGCTATTGTTGGCTAAAGCTCTGAAGCCCCAAGATACTTCAAAGCCACCCCAGGAACGCACCAGGCCTACAATCGGCTGTTTCAGATTACTTGTTATCAGCATGGGGTCACGATTGGCTCAATATTGTGGCAATACAAACGACAACCTGTTGATTGAATCGACGTGACCCTGCTGAAGAAAACTCATCTATTAGAATCTATCAATGAAATCAATCAACTCGAATTATCTATGGGCCTATGGGCGAATAAAGATATATATATATATATCTATCTATCTGAACTTTTAAAAGGTGAACCATTGAAATCTATTCTTTTTTGTATGGGAGTTGCTGATGACGTATTTAGAAATTGATGGATTTATGACGGACTCGAAACTAGTAGAATTGCCCTCGGAAGGCACACTAATTCTATATTTAATAGGAATTGGTTAATACTGAATATTTTTTAAAAATATTTTAGGCCTATTTAAAAATATTCTAAATATCTTGGGAGCCATATTCTGATAATGATCTCATAAAATCGGTCCTTTTCTATTTATTCTTTAACTGCTTTCCAAAAATATTCATTTTTTGGATATATGATTCGTTATATAATGCCGAAATTATTCGGAATTGATAAATTAGAATATAGAAAATCGAAGCTCTGATAGAATTAAGAAAATATCTCAGGAAAAATGATATTTTGATTATCTAATTAAGATGATTTTATCTATTATATATCTTATATATTATTTAAATATATCATATTATTATATATCTTTTTCTATTTATTCATTATAAATATTTTCTATCTCGATAATTTATTATTTGAGTCTTTCTATATCTATATATCTTTTATTTTTGTTTTTTTATTTTTTTCTATTTATTTCGATTCGATAAATCGAAATACTTGATTTCATTAGATGAATATCTATAATAAATTTCTTTTTATGATATAGTAAGCTAAAATATATATGTTTATATAATATCTATTATTTTAAATTTTTCAAAAATTATGGAAATTTTGAGTGGCACGAAATATTTCTGATTCTGAAATTTTCCGAACTTTATAGAATGAAATGAGCAATGCCTGATAATTCAAATTTCTATATTAAGAGATTTGGAGAAATAGAATATCTTTTGATTATTTTTTAAAAAAATATTA